TATCGGGGGTCGTACCTTGTCATTTCAAGGTTTTGGGGATGACTTCGATATAACAATTTTTCTTAATAAATGATTGGCAAATGATTGACAACAAAGGCCTGCAAATATATACAAATAATATGGCCTAACCTTATCTAGGTTAATAATCACGACAATATGAAATAATTAATCAACTTGTTACAAATGATTGTGTTAATTACAGTGGGTAGACTATCCCTTTCACTGGCCAACCTCGGACTGACGCTTGTACTGCAGCCTTATTCAGGACACAGTCAGTACAAGTGACAGCCCTTCAACTGCTGTGCACACTGCTAGCCTTATTCAGGCAGACACACTGCGCACAACAGCCTGGTCGCCAGACAGGTCAATTAGACGAATTACAGGTGGCTAACCTCCCTTGCTGGTTAGCCTCTGAGTGGCTTGCCACTCGAAACACAACAGCCTTTTTATAACTATTCTTGTTGACCTTACTTTCTCATAAGGACAACCTCTTCTGTAAGCTGACTTTATTTTATAGTCTCACTTACCACTGTTATGTTCTATCACGTCTTAGCGGTCTTATACTTCACACAGCTTGCACTGGAAAGGACTGTCTGTACCGGGATTCAGCCTTTATATACCTTTTAACACGGAAGTTTACATCTGCAACATTATAGCTAAACCCGAATGGTCATACTATAAATTTCCGGAATATTACAGTATTACCGATTTTATTTCCCTCGGAGCTATGCATATGTATACATTGTACAGTGAAGGAAAAGACGAACACAAATCTACTGACACACCTCAGTTCAATAGATACAAAGAGAAAAACGGGTTATTGCTAAAACAAGGCTGTTCAGATTTGTATTTATGGAGATTTCGTCTATATAAAAAAATGTATTGTTTTTTAAAATTAAAAATCAGAAAGTTTCTAACCTGGTCACCCTACCCCTTCCACGTATCATCTTATTTTTGCAAACAGCCTCAGGGCCAGCTGACTTTGTTTGATTTGGAAGTCCTTGTTAGGATATATTGCAGCAGCTTTTGGACATGAGCTCCATCCCCACCCTCCTCAATATATACACAAACTGGTAAAGGTTTAACATGAAAAAGAAGTAATAAATACATTTTTTTTTTGCATTTTGCGTTTAGCATTAACGTCTTTTTTTTTAACCCTTTCCATCACCCATAGGGTTTCATATTTCACAGGTGTATTCCTTGTGAAAAGACCCTTTCTTTTTGTACTATTATTTCGGACCACTTGATCTTAGAGTTTGACCTACTTTGAAAAACTTAAACTTGACCATGAGCTGCCATGCGAGGGCATCAGTGTTTCATGGTTTCAATTTTTGAAAGCAAACTTGGTCTTGAATCGACCTAAAATCATCTTTTCGAAAAGATGTTTCTTTCGTACATCGTGAGTCACATATGCTAGACATGTGCATGAAAAAGAGTGTATTCCCGATTATATAAATGTACAATGCAATACGGACCACTGACACCTAGCAATCGCATAAGCTTTTCTGATCTTTGACCAGTAAAGCTAAAAATACAGCTGACTGAGGATTTAATTTTAATCAAATTGTCCAAAATTGAGAATTTTTGAAGGCATAAATCTCGATATTTTCCATATATAACCAATTAAACCATTCCTGAGACCTAACCCCTGAACCTTATGTGAGTATTTGAATTTACAAATAGTAGACTACCAGCTCCTCATTAAAATCATTGGAGAGTTTGCCTGCAAGATGTTCAAAGACATAGCGAATTTTTAATATCTACATGTAGCATATTCCTGGGGCTAATACCTCGAAACCAGCGGACATGAAATACAAGTTTTGAAACAACCTACTGTATGTGCTTATTACAATCAAGGGAAATCTTACCAAAATCAATTATATCAAAATGTACGACTTTTCAATACTTTATACAACCATATCTCACGATAAATTAAAGTCCAGACTCTGTGACATCATAGACAGCTGCTTTTCCAATAAAAATTTAATATGTAAATTTACTTACCTTGTCATTGGTCATTTGCAAAATTATTTTGTTAGAACATTTTGATTGAAAAAACAAGTACTCCGAAGTTGATAATAACAAGCATTCTGAGAGTATTGCATTAGCAATACTAGTCCCCTACCGGCAAGTGTAATCTGGTTCCCGTTAAGAATTGAAAATGTCATAATTCCGTCAGAAAATCAATGAAGCGGAACGAAATGCAAACTTGATCTATAACTAATCAAGGTAGAGTCACATATCAAAAATAAGCTCAATATCTGAAAGCGTTTAGTAAAAAATTGCGGAAAACTCTTAAAAATTGAAAAGGCCATAATTCCGTCAAAAATCAATGAAGCGGAACGAAATGCAAACTTGATCTGTAACTCATCAAGATACACTCACATATCAAAAATCAGCTCAATAACTGCAAGCGTTTGGAAAAAAGTGCGGAAAACCAAGTGGGACAGACTGACTGGCAGACAGACAGAGGGACAGACAGACGGACAGACAGACGGACGGACAGACTCAGAGGAAACCTATAGTCCCCTCCGGTTTCACCGGTAGGGGACTAACTAGGTGTGTTAATAACAGGATGCAATTAGTATTTCAAACAGATTGTCGGAAGACTTGATCTCCAAAAACTACATAGATATTACCAATCAGATACTCAAGCATATTTTAGTCCCCTACTGGTGAAACCGGAGGGGACTATAGGTTTCCTCTGAGTCTGTCTGTCCGTCTGTCTGTCTGTCTAGCTGTCTGTCTGTCCCTCTGTCAGTCTGTCCCACTTGGTTTTCCGCACTTTTTTCCTAAACGCTTGCAGATATTGAGCTGATTTTTGGTATGTAAGTGTATCTTGATGAGTTACAGATCAAGTTTGCATTTCGTTCCGCTTCATTGATTTTTGACGGAATTACGGTCTTTTCAATTTTTACGGGTTTTCTGCAATTTTCTTCTAAACGCTTGTAGATATTGAGCTGATTTTTGGTATGTGGCTTTACCTTGATTAGTTATAGATCAAGTTTGCATTTCGTCCCGCTTCATTAATTTTTGACGGAATTAAGGCATTTTCAATTCTTAACGGGAACGGAACCAGATTACACTTGCCGGTAGGGGACTAGTATTGCTAATGCAATACTCTCAGAATGCTTGTTTTGTATTAATATGAGGAAGAATTTATTTAAAAACTTCTACATTGTTGTGCCTTCTTTTCAACATTTAGGTATATCGATGACGTTTTATCAATTAAAAATATTCATTTTCATTCCTAAGTTGATTCGATATGTCCCTCTGACCTGGAAATAAAAGATACCCCAGAGTCTTATACATCTGTTTCATATTTGGATATTTACTGGAAAAAGACGTAAACGGTATCATAATAACCAAACGTTATTGAAAATTTTGTTAAAATAAAAATAAAATAGTTTCCTTTAAATGAAAATCAAGTCTGTTTTGTTTTTACTAATAACCGAATTAATCAAAGACTCCATATCCCTTTTACAAATGTGCTTAAACTGTCCATAAATGTTTATAGCTAATAAAATTTGATGACTTTGTTATCTTAATTATGTAATATTTTTTAATTTCTGTACTGGATTGCTAGAGATAGGGCCAGGATGATTGTTTTAAAAATATTACTTACGGTACCCAGTGTAAGAAGGGTAACTTAGAATCAAAGTTGTTATCGTTAAGGGTTCGGGGATGGGCTCTGCCTGGAGTTCACCCTAGAATATAGAAACTGGAATGTTTCTGAGGATAGAATTTGCTAGGTGGTTAAAAGTTAGGTATGGGCAATCTGTGTTAGGGTGAGGAGTGTTGAGGTGCCCGGATGAGTGGTAATCAGGCTATGATGATAATGAGTAGGGATGTTTTAACAGCTGGTGTTAATGTGGGCGTGATCTACGCGTACGATTAGAAAAAGATTAGCAATGGATTACTATGGAACGCCAAATTAATATACAATGTCATGTATATTCAAATGCTTACAGTACTTATACCTATCTTCAAATATTTGTACCTATCCTCAAATCAATAGTAACTCTCTCCAAATGAATTCAAGATAGGTTTAATTCAATTATATCTATCTTTAATTCATTTAAAGATAGTTACAATTGATTTGAAGACAGGTATAATTAAATTAAAAATAGGTACAAATACCAAGAATTAAAGATAGGTGTAATGGACTTGAAGATGTGCAATTTCATATTGAACCTAGATATAATTGAGGTATACCTAATTACCTATTTCAAATCCTTCATGGAGATACTTTTTAATCATAAAATAGCACAAAGATCCTTCAATTATTGGAACTCTAAAATCATGCAGGGATTAAGAAAATTAAATTTAGAATTATGCTGTGTATGTCCTTAAAAAGTAACAAGCAATAAAAAAAATCAAAAGTCTTAAGAATTTTCTGAATTTACAAAAGACTAATTGGAGTTATCGTATAGATTCAGAAAAAAATTTATAAGTGGGGGTCTATGATGCAATTTTAAAGAACTATGAAAAAAAAAGTTAAGTCTAAACTAAAATTGGGGCAATATTGCATGCAATGTCCAATAAACACACCACTAGTAAAAAAAGTTCATTTAAAATATTGTCCACACAATCAAACAATTCTAAGTTAATTAGTTGATTAAACATTAATACAGTTGAAATTTATAGAATACAATTAACAGTGTACATGTGCTCATCCGAGTTGTGTTTCTCAACTTATATAGTGGTTGGGATTTGATATCACAACCCTGAGAAAGTGTTTTTGAAAATCCCTTCTTAATGACAATTTACTTCCGAGTCCGATCTTTTATCTCAAAATCTTGATCTGTTCAGCGAAATCTCAGGAAAGTTTGGATAACTCTGAATTTTATATTTAAAAAAAATGCACACAAATATTGTTTGTGTGATTTGTTAAAGATTGAGATTTACAGTATTAATGAATAGTAATGTTTCGATTCCGATGTCTTTGGACAACGTTTTCCCTACTTTCCTTTATCCATTGTGCAATAGTTCAGGGTCCTTTAAGCTGTCTGTTCTTCTGTCTTGTTATTTGAAACTGTCCCGATATTGGAAACAACATTTTTTCGTTTTCTTCCGCACAGCAACATTTCTTTGAAGTTCTTCAAAAATCTGGCACTGTTGTAGGCATACAAAAATGGGTTTAGGGATGCTTTTGACCACAACAGCCAATTAAGGGCTTCGTACAAATGTTCGTTAACACAGCTTTCGCAAAAGGAAATGATTATGGTTGATATAGTGTACGGTGCCCATGTTAGTCCGAAAACAATTACCAGCATTGCCAGAAAACGAGCTGCTTTTAAATCCTTTCTGTTGCGTGATTGTTCTCCGTTGTTAGTTGATGTATTGCCATTCGATGCAGGAGCAACCAATTGTCTCCTTGATCTAATTTTCATGTATATTAGCAAGTTGAGAACACCTATGACGATAAAGGGTATGACAAATTCCACTGTAGCTGTTGAGGTTGTGAAAGTGAGATCGTAGGCAAACTGGACGTCACAATCGCCCGGTTCTACGGTGTTTTCCCCTGTCCAGAGGTCCCAGCCGATTATTGCTGGTGTGTAAAGGGTAACAGCCAGCACCCAGGATAACGATATCTTTACGATCGCTACTTTGGACGTTTCTCGCTGATCATAATGCGGACCGTGCTTAAGAAGCAAGAGACGATCTAGACTTATGATTATAACCGCTAGAACGGATTCCAGACAAAGAGCAAAGTCTATAATCATATAGACCTTGCAAAAATGATAGTCAAACGGCCAGACGTAACTTTTTAATGTATATACTGCGTAAAATGGCATGCTTATTAGACCAAGCATAAAATCCGTTACTGCCAGGTTGACAAGATACATGTTGTATACATTTCTGAGACCTTTGTCTCGGATAAAAGCAGCAATGGTCATAGCGTTACCAAATATTGCAAAGAAAATGAGGAGCACGATAATGATTCCAAAAGGTATGGTTACACCCAGTGAATACACGTCTTCCTCGCCCTCCTCCTCAGAAGTCAGGTTGCTGATATTCATGCTTGTCTACAGAAACAAGAAAATTATCATTAAAGACCAGTTTATTGATGCCACTTTTCCCTATCCCCGCCCCATTGATTGCAGTGATCTATATCGTATAAGTTCTAAAAGAAAAGCAATCCCCCTAAGTTTGGAGTTATGTTTTCCAGTTGCAAGAATATAACGGATCAAGTTTCGGCACTTCGGCTGATTAAATTGAAACTAAATGATATTTTAATCCCCTTGCGTGATATAACTTGAAATGTGAGTTCGTTATGAAGGCTTATACAATAGACAAAATTGAAAGATTTAAGTCTGGGTTTATGATCTCTTATTTGAATAGATTTTAATATAATCTAACTCCAACTGTAGAAAGTAGCCCTGAGATTTTACTCCCAAAAGTTCTGCTTTTGGGCAGTGCACTAAGTAATTAGTTTTAATGTAATGATGATACGGTAAGATTGAAATATATCAAAGTTAATTCTGTATGTCCTTTATTTCTTTAATACTTAAAGATACCAAAGAATTACGAACGCTAACTCTCGATTCCTGTCTACATTTTACACCCATTTAATTCAATACTAATCATGGCCATAGGAACCGGGGGGGGGGGGGGGCAATAATTTTACCGATATATAGATTACTATAGTAAACATAGATACTCTATGCTTGTGCCCCCTCAATAAAAACGCCTGATGACCTTTTTTTTTTTTTGCTTGTCAGAAAATTTTTGGTAGTGCCCCCTCAACTGTCAACTGAAAAATGTTTGGCTGCCCCCCCCCCCCCCAAACTGAAATTGCTTCCTACGGGCCTGCTAATGACAATTTGGCCGTAAAATCTTTGTTGAATGCAAAGAACAGTTCAATGGTAATTGACTGATGATTTTAATGCCAGTGTTAAATAGTGAATTACCCCCTAATACCAGCTCTTTAAAAAAGGGGGGTAGACGATATTTTCCATTGAAATCAGGCTTTAAAGCATCAACACATTTTAAAATATTCTTGGATATGAATAAATATTCCTTTAATCTTTCCTTATGTTTTACGCATATAAAATTAAACATAAATTACTAATAAAATACAATGTTTTAGTTGTAAAACCCTTTGAAATTGGTGAAAAATAAGCATTTTTGTAGTTTTTTTGTCTATAAACACATGCCCCCCCCCCCCCCCCCCCCGTGAAACACAAAAAGCTTTGGTATGAATTTGTGAAATGACAGTCCATATTACCTGTAAAAAGAAATTTTGGTTTCACGGGGGGGGGGATGTTTTAAAAATATTTTCCGTTGATTTCTATAGTGAAAAAGACAAGTTTTACCAAAATTATAGAGTTATCTCTCTTTGTTTTCCCAAAGAAGTAATGTTTTATGAAAATTCTTATAAATATCTATATAAATATGAAAAAATCATTCAAATGTGTTAACTTTTGAAAAATTGACTTGAAGGTAGGCAGGAGAACAATACTATCGTTCGCAGTTCTTAAGCAGATATTGATATTTTTTAAATTTTACTTTATACGTCTCCCCAAAAAAATTGAATTTAAACATCCATTTGTTTTAAATAGATAAATTAGAGTATTTCACTTAAAAAGATGAGCTTTTTAAAAATAATCTTTAATTCTTTATCATTTAACACCCACTTTCTATATTTTCCCTACACTTTTTAAGTGTAAACTAAATGAAATGTTTTGGCTCTATAATGAAATATGAAGATAACGAACAGTAATCAAGTTTAAAAGTCCATTGAAACAACACAATTTGGGAGAAGAGCAAACACGAACTCTAAAAACATCAGAGGTGGGGTCAGGTGCCATAGAGGAGTAAGCATCCCCTGTCGACCGGTCAAATCCACCGTGTGCTCCTTGTCATGATCGGACAAACGGAAAAATCCGTAGACAATTCAGTGTGAAAATAACGGCTTAACAATGTGTATGAAAACGCCAGTCAACAATCGACTTAATGATTGGTTATATTTGCTGTATCGAATAGAATTTAGACTTTAAACGAGACTATTGATATTCTTGTTTCATCAACTTATTTGTCAATACCTTGTCTTGTTTTAGAAATTGTTTGTGCCTAGACCATGCTCTTGCATATCGAATAAACTTGAAGACGTAAACTCCATATACAGGTGATAATGGTATAATGCTACACAAATAAGGAATTTGAAAGAAAAGTTGAAGTCATCACGTTTATTATAAAGTTTTGTTGGTAGGTTACCTTTAACGCCTTTTTCTAATAAAATATCAAAATATGAAACAGATGTGTTAGATTCTGTTGTATCTTTTATTTCCAGTTCAAAGGAATATATCGAATCAACATAATATGGGAATGAACATTGATAAAGCATCGTCGATAGATACATGTATCTAAATGTTGACTTGAAAGCAGCTACAGCAAGAGATCTTTCTTTTCATGTAGAAGTATTTGAATAAATTCCGCTTTATACGAGTACAAAAAATGGTCTGCTAATAATGGGACACAATTAGGCCCCATGAAAATTCCTACAGATTGTTGGAAGACTTGATCTCCAAACACTACATAGATATTGTCAATCAGAAACTCAAAGATCTTTTTCATGTCTATAAAGGAATTTATACTGGTCAAACACTTTTGTTTCCCTTTTCTTTTTTCTCATTTAAAACTATGAATTATTCAAACGTAACTTAAGGGAGTAACTATTGATATTTAAGGTTTTAAATTTTTTACAGCAAAAATACTTAGTAGAATTCACATTCTTTATTCAATAAGAAAAGAAAACCAAGGTTTTCCAATTTTTAAATAATTTTCATATTATTTATATCCTCTAAAAAGAAACTGAATCAAACTCTACTCAGAAAGTGGGAAAGGAATAATTGTTTAGAATGCGGTACATGTACACGTCAGGTTATAGTCAGAATTATATTTAAAAAAAAGACATTGTCATTGGATTTCCTGAGACCCTTCGTGGTATGTGGTTCAAATTATGGGGAAAAAAGCTGCCACTGACTTTCTAAGATAATGTCATAATTTATACGTTTTGAAGCATTAATACATTAGCATTTGATCGAAAATCAGATATAATTGTGATCTGATGATTAAATTTCTGCACAAAATACTGTGTCGATTCTTTTTTTTTTTCAAATTGTATATCCATATTGCATTTCGTGATAATACAGCAAAAATTTTCCTCTCAGAACTTTAGCTTGTCAATACATGTAAATAAAAATTCAGACGTAATTCAAACTTCTTAGCAAAATCATTTTCATATTTGAAATCATCAGAGCATTTCTCTTCTAAAATCCTTTTGATGAACTTATAAATTTTTAGAATTGTTTCAGAAAATATTTTTGGACAGAACTTTTAAAATTACAAAGATTCTGAGGTAAACTGTAGTTCCTTGGTACTAGTATGTCTGTCCGAGTTTTATTTCCCAGAGAGCTACAGTTCCGACGCTAAGGCAAAGGACTTTGCAATTCATATTTGTTTACAAAAACACTTACTTTATATTAAAGACCATTGATATGATTACGCATTAATACTGTACTCATCCTTCTCCATACGATACACAGTAGAAAATAAATGTTCAACATGGTCAGGGATGCTTTTGGCGCACTCAATATAATATGATAACTTTTTTCCATAAAGTTTTATGTTAATTTTTAATTATGTAGATATTTTATTTATTATAGTTTAGCTTTTTTAAATATGAAATGAAGTTAACTAATAAAAAAAATATATGCGTCTTGATCTTGATTCAGTAAATCTGATAGTTTTGATTGTCAAAATTACGAGGAAGATTGACAGAAATAATCTATTGTATATACAATGTCAATGACTTTATCTTCCATGCCTTATCAAGTTAAGATTTTATCGGGGCTCATATATTTGTATTAAGACAACAACGTTCCTTATCTGTTTTTAAGATTGTATATATGGCTAGCAATGTTTGATGGCATTAAAAAATTGTATATTTTTTTTCTCCAGAAAGTTTGTACATACACTCACCTCTACTCAAATAAGATTTCTCGTTGATATTTCAATCCAGAATTATTTATGGTAATACCTTACAAATATATGTCCAAAATAGAGCCAACATTAAAGAAGAAGCAAAAACAAAAAAGGAACTATCTAAACCATTTCCTTAACGACCCTCAACAGAACAGCAGATAAAATTCCCATCTGTACCTCATAATGATCATTAACCATCTAGTTTGATGCTGTATCACCAGGGGTTTTAATAAGCTTCCTTAGTTAATCAATACTTAGCTAACATGCTATTAAATATATGTTTTAATTTAAGATGTGGAATAATATTGTCAATACCCATAAAAACTTGAATGAAATCAGACCACCTCTGCTAAATAAAGGCTCTTGAAATTAACTCTCAGATTTTAATGAAAATAAATTTCTCTCTAACAAAAAAGAAAAAAAAAACTTTTAAGCCAAATTAAGAGTGGTAAGTCAAGGCATTTCACATGGTTTATTATTTTGTTTTGTTTCAATTTGGTTTCACAAAAAGTTACAATAAGAAAATAATAAAATCGTTCAGATCAAATAGAAAATAAGTAAAGATTAACGCACATTAATTAATTGTGAGAACATTATTAGTAGTTTTTCAAAAATTTCTTTCTTAGGTTCTTATACAAAGAGCATTTTAAAATAAAATGAAATTCGTCTTCTATTTCATGAATTATTATACGTGCTACTATACCTGTATCTGTAGAACCAACTTAATTATTTGCGAAAAGAAATTGATGTCTTTTTCCAAAATATAGGAGAAGGGATAATATGAAGGTGGAGGGAACTGACTTGAATACCGATATTAGGTGTCTCTGGAAAGAGTAAATAAAATGTTGGAATAACTCGAATTTCTTTGGAAATGAAAATTGATTAATTGATTGATTGTATGTTGTTTTACGTCCCATTCGAGAATTTTTCACTCATATAGAGACGTCACCATATACAGGTGAAGGGCTTCAAATTTTGACCTTTACTCGGCACTCAGGGCCATTGAGCAATGAGGGATCTTTATCGTGCCAAC